GGGCAGGGGGGGCTGCAGAGCCTGAGTCCTGGGATCAGCCACTACCTGTGCCTAATGTGAGGGTCTGCTAGCCAGCCACAGTGAGGCTGCTCCAAGCCCCACCTAGAGTGGGCTGGGTGGCATCAGCAAGAGCCACAACCCAAGACCCCTATTACTCATGGGAGGGCCAGACTGTCCATGGAGCTACAGGGCTCGGGGGGGCAGGGAATGGGATATGGGGCTTTCACTGATAAAGCGCCCCAGCTCTGATCCAGTCCCAGTGCATAGGGATTGGCTGGCTCAGTCAGGTCGGGTGTGGGAGATGGGGCCTTTTGCTGCTTGAAGGCATCAGCTCCGATCCAGCCTCAGCATCAGGGAGGACTGGTTGGCTCAGGAGGCTGGGGAATAGGACACGGGGCCTTTTCTCTCTAGGGGGTGCTGGCTCCGATCCAGCCCCAGATCAGTAGTGACTGAAACCCATTCTAATCTGATAGCTGTTTGCTGACCCCAGTCCATCAGGCAGATGTCCCCAGCACAACTGTTCCTGACTGGTCCCATTGTGGGCAGCCTCAGCAGAAGGGACTGTGGACACAGAACACCCCTCTCACCTCTAGGGGGAAATCCAGGATGGCTGAGGCATAGGGGCTAGAGAAGGGAGGGACCACATTACCTCTTTCTCCCCTGAGCTCTCACTTCGGGTGGGGAAAAGCTCCTCCTTTTCTTCATCCTCCTCTGAGATCTGCAGCCTCTTCAGCCTCACATAGGGTGACTGGAAGGGAAACAAAAATAGCCAGATATCAGCTCTGCCAGAGGCTGCACAGTCCCTGAGAGACGCTACATGGGGCTAATGGAGACAGCGGCCCACCTGCATAGGTCTATACAGCACCAAACCTCCTATCCCTGTGGAGCACTGGGAGGGGCTAACCCACCAGTAACAGCTAGGGGTGAGGGAGAATGGGGGAGGGGATCACTCCAGACCCAGACATGCAAACCAGCATAGACAAGACAGAGCAACTCACCAAGTGGGCATCTTGGTCCAGTGCCACCCATCTATTGCTCCTGGAAGCCTCCAGCCTTGCTGCTGGCTTCCGGGAGAGGCCTCTCTTCATCGCGGTCCTGGTGGGTTCATCCTTGAGCTGGGGCAGTGGAGGCTCCCTGGTTAATATTGGCAAGGGCTCCAGGGCTGACCCAGCTGAGGGCTCCATGGCTGGCACGGGGGTAGGATCACTGGCTGGAGTGGGTGATGGATCCCGGGCCAGAGTGAGATGCAGTTTGTGGGCCTTGATGCTGGCCCGGGGCTGCAGAACGAGGGGAAAGCTCCCTCCCTCAGCACTGGGCACCTCGCTCAGGACCTGTAGAGGAGTGTGGGGCCCTGGTTAACATTCCTCTCCCAGGTAGAATAGGAGCTGGACACTGACGCTGGGAGCTGCCCACATCTGCAGGCTCAATTTAATCAGAGATTACAAATTAACCAGGGATTGTAGTTTACAGCGCTGTTAATCCTCATTACATTTGGCACTTTACCTAAAGCCTCAGCTCCTGTAAGAATTGCAGCTTGCCCTTAAAAAAGAATAAGTTTCTAGCCCTCGTGATTGCAGAGAAAAGCTTGAAAACATGACCCAGGTATGCTCCTAACAGTCCCTAGGTGTGTCCTGGGCATGACCCTAAGAGCTCAAATGAAAAGGAACATACATTTATTCTTGTTTTTAAATTTCATTATTTCTTGGGGCTGGTCAGAGGTGAACTGGTCCTTTAAGGGGGAGTAGGGGCTCAGCCTCACTTGTGCTAAACTTAGCCCACTTCCCCAGGTGAAGGGAATGACACCAGGGGACCCTGACAATGGCATGTAACTAGAAACCAGGCCTGCTGGGGAACATAAGGGGCAGCCGCAGAGTGGTTGGGGAGGGCATATGTATTTGTTGAGGAATAAGTCTAAGTTGCAGGGAATAGAAGCTTATTAGGAGGGCTGAACTGCTATAAGCAAGCGAAAGCCCAGATAAACTGAAAGGGGGAGGCTTTATAGTACTAAACCACCCCCAGAAGAGCAATACTGTGAAAACACCAGCTGTGGTGGGTGGTTTGATGTGAGATGGAAGAAAAACTGAGACAGTGGCAGGGCCTGAAGCCAGACTGTGTAACCCTGCTACCTGGCCCACCTCTTGATTGGTTAGTGGTTTTGGTTTTGGCAATACTGGATTTAGAACAGCGAGACCCTGTGCCTCAGGGTAATAAACCATCAGGAGGGAGAGGACACCAGATGCCCAAACCTCTCTCCAGTATAGTCCCGTAATGGTGCTGGGTGAGAGACTTCCCCCAAGGTAACTCCAAATCCCAGGTAAGAAATTGCCCCTTGGGGCTGAAAGCTTGTTCTTGGCACAGAGGGGTGTTTTCTTTGTAAAATGAACTTTGGTCACCTTTCCTTGCCTTTTTTTTTTTTTTATCTTAAAACTTCAGTCCTTGCCCACCTGCAGTGGCTCTACAGGCAACGGAAGAGTTGGTGTGTTTGTGACACCACAAGTGACAAGGAAGTGAAACCTGACTCTCTGAACAGAGAGAGGGTTTTTATTCAGGCTGTTTAAAACCTTCAGTGAATTGCTGACATTTTTTTCACTCCAACACTATGGCAAGTGGAGCTCCAAGGCATAGGGAGGCAGCGTGTTTTAGTGGCTAGGTCACTGGATTAGGGTCTAGTCCTGGGTCTGCCAAAAACATGACCTTGGGCAAATCTCCCTGTTTCCCCTCCCAGCCTTTGTCGAGTAAAGTACAGGGTGAGCTCTCCAGGGCAGGGAGTGGCTCTTGCTGTGTGTTGACAAAGCACCTGTCTCTGCAGAGTCCTGATATTGGCTGGAGTCTAGGCAATACAGTGTCACAGATTTTAGAGCCAGAAGGGACCATTCTGATCATGTAAACTGACCTCCTGCATAGCACAGGCCAGAGAACCTTGTACAGTAGTTCCTGCCTCAAGTCCGGAACTAGCACTGGCTGGAGATTTATTAACAAAACACTTTGGCCAAAAAATGTCAGAACTCCAACTGTTCCAGAAAAGGTTTTGGGTTTAATGAATTTCCTGCCCTGAGGGGAAAAAAATGTCAAGGAGGAAAAACAAATTGGGAAGTTGCTGAAGTATCCCACTCTCAAAACAAAGTTCTGGTTTTTGTTTTGAAAAGTAATTTCATTTACACTGAAAAAAAGGTGGAGGAAGAAAAGTCACAATTCTCAGAAGGAAGCAGTTTGATTAACACAAAGCAAAAAAAATTTCAATTCATGACTTTGGCCTGATGTGCAAGAGGGTTTTTACTCTTGAAAATTCTCAAAATCACTTCCCACTCAATTGTACCCCAAAATGTCTGGTTGAGCGAAAGCAGAACTAGAAAAATCATCCAGTCATAATGTAAAGACTGCAGGTGATGAGCAATCCACCATGAGGCTGGGTAAATTGTTCTAATGGTTAATTACACCCCCTGTTAAAAGGGCCTTTCTTCTAGTCAGTCTTCAGCTCCCAACCATTGGCTTGCATTCTGCCTTTGACAGCTGCTGTTAGAACTCTCCTCCCTGTGCACGCAGTTACAGATTGTCATCAAGTCACCTCAATTTTCATTTGGATTAAACAATAAACCGCCTACTAGCATGAGACTAAGGCCTGGTCTACACCTAAATCTTGGCTTGATCTAGCTGCCTGCCTCGGGGTTGTGAAAAAGTCACACGCAGGAGACAGTTAAGCTGACCTAAGCCGTGGGATAGACCTCACTAGGCTGCTGGAAGGGAGGATTTATTACAGCGACAGACCCAGCCATTCGGTGGAACCCCACGCAGCGCTGGAGCAAGCGGGGATGTCACTCACAGCAAGGGAGCTGCATGCACCGGTGCCGCTGTGCTGTCGAGCAGGCACAGCCTAGAGCAGCGCAGCTTTTCCACAACTTGACTCTTTCTTGCCCGGGCCCCTCTTCCTGTTCTGCCCTTGCCCAGCGCTCGGGGGTCCTGGCGCTATGACAAACCCTCGGACCGCGCGCGTCACCCACCGAGTGGCACCAGCGGGGGGGAGGGAGGAGCCCTGGCATTGCTGGCCCCGCAGGCCGAGCTCCGAGTGCCAGGTTGCTCCAGGGGGGCCCAGAGTCCTCAGCCGGCCGGGCTGGGGAGGCGCCCCGCGGGGCCGTGGTGCTGGCTGGGTCGGGGGGCGCCCCGCCGGCTGGAGCCTGCCCCCCAGCCCCTAAAAGCCGCTGAGGGCCTGGGCGGCAACGGCCGCGCTCAGAGCCGGGGCCGCCCAGCCCGACCCGCGGGGCTCCCCGCCCCCTCGAAGCCCCCCGCGGGGGCGCGCCCTGCTCTCACCGGCTCCTCTGCGCTACTCTGCGCCAGGCGCGTGGAGCGCCTCACGGGAGTCTCCGCGCGCAGCGACCCCCGTCTCCTCATGCCGGGCGGGCGAGTGGCGGGGAAGGAAGAGGCGGGCCCGGCTCCCGCGCCCGTTGACATTCAAACCCCGGAGCTGGTTTGAAATGACAGCTGGCAACGCGCCGGCCTGTGCCCGCGGCGCGGCTCCCCCTGGCGGCCGACTCCCTGCCCTCCGGGGACAGGCGCCACGACCCCGAGCCGAGCCACAGGGAGCCGGGCCATAGCGGGAGGCGCCCCTCGGCCGCCGCAGCCCGGGGGAGGGGAGCAAGAACCCCTACGGAGCGGCCGGGACACTCCGTCGGGTATGGGCTGCCTCCTGGTGCCCGAGGGGACTTCACGGACACCCCGAGGGGGGAGGAGACCCCGCCCCGCCAGGGTGAGGAGCGCAGGGCGGGGACTGGGGAGGGGGGACACGGCTGAGGGATCGCAGCGAACAAATAACAAGAAAACAAACTATTCCTGCTCTGCCGCGCAACCTCGAGAGACCACAGTATAGCTCCCGCGTCGCTCACCCCGCCTCTCCCTCACACACCCCTCATCGGCTACTATGGAGACCGAAGTCCCGCCCCCACACGAAATGGAGGGCCAGGTTATTCCACCAATCACCAGACGGAACTGGTGGAGTGACACCAGGCGTTGACCAATCAGTAGGAGGAGCGGGGTCTGACCAGTGCCTGTTGAGATGGCTGAAGGGCTGAGGAATATATTTCTGCGGCCAGTCAGCGAGCAGAGCGTGAGCGTGACATTTTATGGTAAACCAATCAACTGATGAGTCGAGTTGATGGACGGGCGCGTCAAACTAATCGACGGGAATGGAGATTGAATGACAGCGGCCGGTATCCAATCTTCGGGGGAAACCGGAGACTGACAGTGATTCCGAGCCAATCAAGCAGCAGAGGTTGGAGAAGTGGCACAGACAGGCAGCAGGGGGCGGGAGTAGGCGGATCCTTTCAGGCCGCGGCTTTGTGGTGAGTGGGGATGTGGGGACTAGGGGGCAAAGAACCCCCTGAGCCGGGACTAGCCGCCCTCGCCTCCCCCCGCACCGGGACCCCCGGCCCCGCTCCCCTCACGCGGGACCAGAATCGGCCCCTCCACCCACACCGGGGCCCCCTGGCCCTGTTCCCCTCACGCGGGACCAGAACCGGCCCCTCCCCCCACACCGGGACCCCGCGGCCCAGCTCCCCCCAACTGAGACAGGCGCTCTTTGGCCCTAGCCCCCTAAACCAGGATCCCCCTGAGCCCGGCTCCTCCCACCCCCCAATCAGCCCCCCCCCCTCCGAGCAGCCCTGGCCTGACCTCCCTCCCCTGGGACCCCCAAGTGCCCCTCGCCTAGTTTGTGCTGTAATGTGGGGGGCAACCACCTCGTCCCTGCCCAGGCTTCCCCATCCAGGCCCCATCCCTAGAGCAGAGACCCCCACTCCAGCCCTCTCCCCTCCCAGGTTAACACCCCTGCAGGCTCCTCTCCCATCTCAGGGTCACGTAGGGGCAAGTGACACAGGGCCATGTTAACACACGCCACCCATGCTAGAATGGGGGATGCCTGCTCTAGCCAACAGCCAATGCTGGGGAATATTGGGGGGGCACCAGCTTCCAGCCCGACCCTGGGGCAGGGGCCCTGCGTAAGGGGATGATGGGAGCAGGGGCTTCTGGCTACTGTAGCCCACAGGAAGAAGAGATTCTGGATAGGGTACTTTGCAGTGGGAGGGGGATAGAGAGGCTCAACATGAGGTGTGAGGGCCCACAATGGAACAGGCTGAAGAGGAAAGGGATGGGGGCGGGTAAGGGGCAGATAATGAAAGATGCAGGGCAAGTGGGGCCCCAGTAGAGCCCAAGAAGGAACGGAGCTCAGCCTGAGGCAGCAAGGGGACAGATATGAAGCATGAGGGACAGGGGCCCCTTATGGGGCAGTCTGGTGGGGAAGGGATGTTTCCTCACCCCCTTCACCTGCAAGGTAACTCTGATTCTCTCTCCCCCCCCCCCACTCCCAGGGGGCTCAGGGTTATGCCAACTGCTGCTCCATCCTCCTGACCTCCCTTCAGCATGGAGTTCCCTGACCACAGTAAGCACTTGCTGCAGAGCCTGCGAGAGCAGCGACACCAGGGCTTCCTCTGCGATTGCACCATCATGGTGGGCAACACCCAGTTCCTAGCACACCGGGCCGTGCTGGCCTCCTGCAGCACCTTCTTCCACATGTTCTACAAGGAGCGGCTGGACAAGCGGGATCTGGTCTGCATCAACAATGAGATTGTCACAGCACCAGCCTTCGGGCTGCTGCTGGAGTTCATGTACCAGGGCATGCTGGCCTTCAACGACACTCCAGTGGAGGATGTGCTGGCTGCTGCAAGCTACCTGCACATGAATGACATTGTCAAGGTCTGCAAGAAGAAGCTGCAGGCACGGGCACTGGCAGAGGCTGACAGCACTAAGAAGGAGGAGGACTCCCCAGCCAGCTCTGAGTTCCTGCCCAGCACCTCCAAGTGCCAGCTGCAGAGCCCTGAGGTCCTGCCACCACCTCTGCATCTGTGTGAGGCAGGAAAGAACAAGAAGGAGGAGTGGAAGAATAACCCCTTTGAGAAAGCAGGCCCCCAGCAGCCTCCAGCACCAACTGCAGACATGGCAGATACTACCCAGCCAGGCATGGAGGGCGACTCCCCCCGTGGCCCCGTCTTGGGTAGGCCTCTCCCCCCAGTCACTGCAGACGTTTCTCTGTCCAGCCCCAGCAGCTCCACCGAAACCATCTCCCACAGCTACTTTCCCCCAGGCAATGTGGCAGAGGCACCATCCGGCCTGGAAACCATCCCTGAGAGCTTAGCCGTGGAGCCACGGGTGGGCAACTTAGATGGCTTCTACCCCAAGGAGCTGGACAGGGGTCCCATCAAAGTGAAGGTGGAAGCCATTGTGATCTCTGATGAGGAGCCGGACACAGTGGAGCAGCTGGAGAGGCGGAGCATGGAAATGAGGATGGAGAGCATCTTCCAGAGGCCCACAGTGGAGGTGGGGCCAGCTGGGGGCTGCAATCGCCACCCCAATGGCTTTGAGGAGCCCGGTGGCATAGAGGAGGTGTCCTCAGAGGGCGGCTTCCTTCCACAGGAGCATCTCCCCTACCACATGATCCCAGTGCCGGGTGGACAGGGCTACTCCAACATGGTGACACCGCCACTGCATGAGCAGATGTACCTGCCAGAGTACGAGGCACACCCCAACTTCGGTATCTTCACTGAGGACGTCCCCACCTGCAAGACGTGCGGCAAGACCTTCTCCTGCTCCTACACACTGCGGCGCCATGCCACTGTGCACACGCGCGAGCGCCCCTATGAGTGCCGCTACTGCATGCGCAGCTACACCCAGTCTGGGGACCTGTACAGGCACATCCGCAAGGCCCACAATGAAGACCTGGCAGCCAAGCGCTGTAAACAGGACGTGGAGAACCCCTCGTAGTGAACCACATCTACCCTACCCAGGGATATAGGACAAGCCGGACGCTCCTCAGCAGTACAGGGGAAGCCTTTGGATTCTCTCCTGTAGAGATGGGTTGGAGGTGTGGTGAGGCCCCCCCAGATGCTAGCAGGGAATTTTGAACTCTAATCAGGAGCCACAGCGACCATAGAAACAGGCCTCACTCCAAACCAGCAGCTGCTCTGGTTCATGCCCTTGATCAGTCGTCTTCCTGCCCAAGCCACATGTACCACCTCCCTGCCTGCCGGAAGGAGTCGCTGTCATTTCTTATACAGGGTAGACCTGTGCTGGGCACACTACACTGGCCTTTCCCCCTTGGACTGCTGCCAGCTTTGTAAATAGTTTGGAAATAGCTGCATTGATCAGAATAATTTAAATTCTAACCAGGAAACACTTCCACATATATTTATGCTCAGAGTGGGTCACAGCAGCTGGGAGTTCAGACCCAGGACAGTATCTGACTGTCAGGGTTATTATTATCCTGGGCAGGAGCTCTGCACAGAGAGGGGTTTAGAGTGATTGCTTCAGAGTGAGTTTGAGCAGACACACAACCTTCACTTCTCCCACCCTCCACTCCCAGCGCTGCCCCCTTCTGTTGGTTGTTTTTAACTTGGCATAAATACTTATGCCCAGACAGACACGCTCTCCTTGAAGGTTACTCTCATTCATCTTAATCCCCCTTAGACAGAGGCTCCGCTTTTAGGGTTGTATTTTTAAGTAAATCATGGTTCTCTTTTCAAGAGGATATGAAGTGAGTTTTAAAAAAAATGGTTTCCCACCAATGGGGGTGGCCCTTCCAGCCCCCCAGGAATGAGCAGGGAGTAGCCCAACATCCCAGAGGATAAGTTCCCAGCAGCTATGAGGCTTTAGGGCCAACGAGCCCTTCTGCAAACCACCCAGGAAGGGACAAAAAGGTGAAAGGTGGGTTATTTGCATGGAATGGTTTGTACCAGTTTTGTCTGTGCTGCTAACTGTGGAGCTTTTGGACGCAAGGGCAGATTGGTAGAAAACACCTAAAGCCAAGAAACCTGCTTGTGAAAACCCTCCTAAGGTTCCAGGCTGAGAGTTTCTGATTCCCATTGTTTTTAGTGTCATGGCAGCATTTGGGCCCCTGACTGCTCAAGACCACCCCATGGCCCTAGCTCTTTAAGCTCAAGTTGCCCCTCCCAGTCAATACATCTTTGTTCCCCCACACTGCCCCAGCAGTGAATGCAGCAGGGTTCCTGCTCACTCCAGGGGGAGGGACAGACTCCAGAAGCTGCTGTGCTGCTAAACTGTCCTCATATCAGCCCTTCTCCTCCACCTACCAAACCCAACAGCCCAGAGCAGCCATCTTTTATCTGACTCATCATTTGATCCTCTAAATATAAAGCCCAGAGTGAAAGTGCTTCTAGGACTCATTTCTGTACAAAGCCGGGAGTTGGGGTCACTGCCCAGGACAAAAGTTCAATAGAAAAAACTAGCACCAAGTGCTTCCGCTGTCTGTGCTGTGGTCTTCTCTCCAGCACGTTTTGGTGTCATTAGAGGGGTCAGCTCCGCTGCAGCTCTGGTCTCTCTGGCTCAGGCCGACAAAGAAGTCCCTTTATCCGCAGGACAGGCTGCAGCAGCGCAACCTGCATGATTCACTCCTACAGTGGAGGAGGGAGTTCAGTCTTTGTGGCTCCTACCATTATTACACAGGCAGTTGGCCTGAGGCAACCCCCTTGGTGGGGTGATATGGTCATTTAGCCACTGTTGGTCTGGAGCAGGGCCTTAGAGATGAACAGCACCAAGCCCCACTCAAGGGCTGGTTGAGGTGAGATTCCATAGTTTACTCAACCCTGCTAAGAATAGCATGAGAAGAATGGGGGGGGGGGGGGAAGAGACAAACCCAGGCTTCTGGCCAACTCCAGAGGGGAGACCCTTAAAGCCCCCCCTTCTGATGGGATTTCCAGCTTCAAACTGCTGTGGACCTACCTGCCTTAGCCAGACTCCAGAAGCAGCACAGGAAGATCTTGTGCTATGGAAAGGGGGCCTCCAAGATGCTTTGTACTAGGGGCAGAACTCCCACCCAGATGAGAATTAATTTGTAGGAAAGAATCAGGAAGAAGTTTTTCTACTCCCCTCTCAACTCTGAAGAGGAAAAATTCTCACACACAGTTCCAAGTCCCTCTTTACATCTGTCTGGTGCAGGAGTCTCTGGAATCAGACTGGGACTCCAGAGCAGGGTACAGAACAGGAACTGCCTATTTAGTGGATGCTCCAGCCTCCTCAGGCATGTTCCCAGAACATGAGAACAGATGCTTCCCCTCCCTGCAATAAATCAATCTTCCCAGCAGCAATGGAAGGAGAGGTCCTGGTACATGCACATGTTGTAGGGAGCAGGAAAGACACTAGCTGCTATCTCAGCCCCCTCCTGCTCTACACCATTAGAAGCCTTGGGTGCTTAGATAACACAGGCCTTTCTAACCCAGCTTTCCTTTGCCCACTTCCGAATCAGTGACAGCCGCCAGCAGAAAGCAGCCTATAATCTGTCTGAAATGAAGACAGGCTTCCAGCAGGGCCTCCAGGAGCTTTTACTAAGCCAGCAGCACTGGAGAGGAAAGCACACCGCACCAGCTAAACAACCCTCAGACTGGGGCCTGCTAAGCAGTTGTGGGTCCAGGACAGGGTCACCACAGCACAGAACCTCCCATCCAGGACAGGTTATTTGCACCAAGATAACAGGCCCAAGGGACCATGTGCTCTAAATACAGCTGTAACTGGTGCACTCCCCTCAGGCCTCTCTACTGACTGGCGGTATCATGAGCTGCTTGCACCTGGCAGGGGGGCTCTCAGTGCAGTCATTACTCTCAGCAACTGCAGTGGCTTAGCTATGCTGGATTGGATTGCCAGTCCCATTTCACACAGACAAGCATTTACAGAAACATGTTTAACAGGGTTAACTAGTGGTTACAGGGTATGCTTCTAAAGGGAACACATGTGCAGTCTAAAGGACAGACCATGCTTATTCCATGTGCAGGATTACCTTCCCTCCTGCACCACTCAACCTCCCTTACAAGAGAACCAGTCTACCCCACAGCTAGGGCTGCCCTTGAGGAGGTTCACCCCTGTTCAGGGAGGACAAGGGTCTCCGGTGGGTCAGCATTGGGGCTAGGAAAGTTGCTGGAAGATAAGTTTACTTCCTCTTATTCCAAAAGCTACCACCATGTGAGTTCTATCCCAAGGTCAGAGGGAACAGGCTGGGCTTTACCAGCCCCAGATGGTGCAGTAGGAACTTGGAGCCAGCACCAAGCAGTGTCCTACACCAGCCCTTAAGCAATGGGGTCCTATTGGTCTCACGGTGGGGGGGGGGGGGAAAATCACACTGGCACCAGTGCAAGAGGCTGGCAGGTGTGACTATCCCCACAACACAGAAAGGACTATCCCATGGGCACCGCATGACACAGGGTAAAAGCACTTGCTCTGAGCTAAAGGGGCCCTCACTCTGGGGTCAGATCTTTCCCTTTGGAGCAAGTCTATCCAGGCACCCACTTGGGGAAGGGAGGAAATGGGCAGGTTCCTTGGCATCTCAGCACACCAGGGTAGATGCCCCACTGGCCAGGTAGGAATATCATTCCTACTCTGACCGGAGGGGGTGGGATGACACCATTTACCAAGCAGCAACATTAGAATGGGCAAGAATGGCTCCTCTCAGAAGAGCAGGAGTCCGAGGCAACCAGTGGCCTTAGCCAAACATCTCCTGGGAGGCGTAGGTCATGTAGAGGAACCCATCCTCATCTTGGTTTAGTGTGTACACCTCAGCCATGGTGAGTGACATGCTGACCAGACTCCGGCTACCATCCACCAGCAAGTAGAATGACTGGGTGGAGCTGAGGGCCATCCTGTTCCTGGAGAAGCAAGAAGGCAGGAGAGCTGAGTCCCATCTGAGGGTAAGAAGGGAAAGCACTGACTGGTCTCCCCTGAGAGCACCCACTGCCTGCCTTGCCCAGGGGGGAACTGCACTACCTGGGCATTGCCTGCACTTGCTCACAGCCACCCCTGCACTTAACCCACAACAGCAGCCAAGGAGAACAGGGGTCCCTTACCCAGGGCACCCTGGAACAAGAAAGGGCTGTTCAGAGAGCTGCAGTCTCTGCATTAGCCTTTGGTAGCACCTCTCCCAAAGCTGTATGGCACCCCTGAAACACAGCCAGGGGCATCCTAAGGGGGATAATGACTGCCCAGGTCACAGCACCCCCCTATGGTGTCTCAGGTCAGAGAGAGAAGCAGGACCCAGCAGCACCTGGGGCACAGACACCAAGGGTGCAATACCAAGCCAGACCCCCACCTCCAATCAATCAATCAATCAATCTATCACACACACACACACACACACACACACACACCCCTCCTCTCTTCTCTTACCGGATAATGGTCACAAACTGCCCCATGGTCAGCTCCTGAGGGACCAGGAACTTGGTTCTATCCAATGCTGGCAGCACCTTCTCCTTGGGGTACCGCTCCAGGATCACCTGGAAAACAGACACGTGGGAAAGGGAGGAAGGCAGCACCCCTCCCCGAGGCCACGCTGCTGAGATGGGCACAGCCCCCCAACCCTTTCCCTGCACCTGCGGAGGGGGGGGGGGGGGAGAGAGAAGAGGTGAGGGACTATTTCCCACGCAGTGGCTGGTGTCCTTGGCCCCGGGCTACACGCTAAGCGCCCCCCACGTCCCACCTCCTCCCGCCAAGCGGCCGCCCTGCCCACTCACCGGGAGTTTGCTGGGGAACTTGGAGCGGACCGCTGCCACTTCGCGTTTCCTGGTAGCTGGAATGAGAAGCGGATCCGGGAAGGAGGGGCACAGTCACGGGGGCCGAGCCAGGGCTTCCCCCAGCAGAGCCCCCCGGAAATGGGGAGAGACCCCGCGCAGGCAGCACCTATTGAGATCTGGATACTCAGAGGGACCATCCGGGCCGGGCCGCCCCGCCGGGGGGGAGGGGGCAGGGGCAGGCAGCCAGCCCGGAGCAGGTCTCTCCGCACCCCAGCTGCAGGGGGAGCTCCAGCCCCCTTGTTTAGCTCCTGGGACTGGGGGCTCTCCGCTCCGAGCCCACAGAGGGGAAGAGGGCAGGGCACCCCAAGGTCCGCCCAGGGGCTTCCCTGCAGGGGACGCCCTACCCTCGAATTCACCAGTCTCTCCCTGCAGGGACCCGCCCAGGGCTCCTCTCTCACCGAAGCATTTCCGCTGCTTGAAGGGAGCGCGGGGCTCCCGGTTGCTGGTAACTGGCAGCATCCTGCAGGGCACTGAGCGGGGCTCGCCTGCCCCCGGAGCCCTTTAAATAGCGCCGCTTGCGCCGCAGCGCTGCCCCAGCTGCAGCAGGATCCCCCTGCAACTCGCCCCGCCCGCGGGGGAATCCCTAAGGCCAGGGCCCTGCTGCTACTGGGGAGCGCACGGGCCCTGACGGGACTGGGGGCTCCTGGTGGGGAGCAGGGCACTGAGGCGGGGGGAGAGTTTTTCTTCTCTATGGGCTGATTTTGCTTCTGCTCAGAGAAGAGGGAGTCTGTTAACTGTACCCCCCCCCATGATGGGGATGGAAGCGGTTATCTGTTAATTGCCCCTGTCCTCTATGATGGGGGAACAGAGGGGCCGAGGGGTCTTGTTAATTGCCCATGCCCCACATGGATGGGGGTTAGAGAGGAGTCTGTTAATTACCCCTGCTCTCTATGGTAGAGGGGTCAGTTAATTGTCCCCTATGATGGGGATAGAGGGGGATCTGTTAATTGTCCCCACCACCCATGGATGGCGATAGAGAGGGAGGTGTATTAGTTGCCCCTGCCCCCAGTGGTGCCCCCACCTCCGACACCCCATGCACGTCCAGCGGCTAGAGGGGAATTCGGGCGCATGGTTATTGAATCCCTTCGCCTGGCTCCGTTAAGAGCCGCAAGCAGGAGCCCACATGGCTGGGCCCCGGGGTGGAAGAGGGGGAGCGAGAATGGACGAACAAGCCCAGGCACGGACTCACAGTCACTCCCAAGGCCCACCCCCACCCCCCCGCCAAGGTGGGGGCCGGGCCTGGGGCTGCTATGGGAGGTGTCGCTGGTCCGGGGCATGGGGAAGTGACCTGTCCCCAAGGGAGCTGCGGCTATATTTGGGGGAGAATCTGCCCCTCACTGGGGGAAGGATTTTGGGACATTGACCCCTCGCAGGATTTGGATGGCATTTCACCCTCCCATGGGGTAATGGGGGCCTGTGCCCCCTACGCTGTATTCTGGGGGGTGCAGTGGGGTTATTTTACCCCTCGGGGTGTGTCTGGGGGCATTTGCCCCATAGTGCATTTGAGGAAGGGTCTAATGGGTTTTTGGCCCCCTGGTGCACGGGGGGGGGCCGAGGGGATACAGGATTTACCGTCTACTCCCCCTCTGATCCTAACTTCGTTCTACGAAATGTTTTGCCCGGGTCGGACCCAATCAGGAGCCCGGGGCCTTTGGCCCCGCCCCCACGTGACTCTTTCAAAACCAGCCCCTTTGTTTGAGCTGCTGTGTGTGTGCTGAAAGTCCCTGGCAAGAGGAGCCGGTGGCGGTTTCTGGGGGTTGCCTCTGTGCGTCCAGCTCCCCCATGGTGCATGCAACTTATCGTCCCCCAGCCTGTTCCCGGTGCATGCGACT